TAGCAGTCTATAGTATTGCTATCTCATTACACCAATTGACTTAATTTTAGTGCCACAGTTTCGGTGCGCCAGTGTCATATTTGTTAGGGTTCCGTAAACGGGACCCCATTACTAAGACTCTGCTATCTGTCTGTCCCTCTTTCACCAGGTAGTATCTCATGAATCGTGATAGTAAGACAGTTGAGATTTCACAGATTATGTAAATCTGTTGCCGCTATAACAACAAATATTAAAAACAAAATAAAGATATATAAGCGGAGCTTCCGTACAACAGACATGAGTTTTGGCCGTTTTTATAGATAATGGTACGGAACCATTTCGTGCGCGAGTACAACTCGCACTTGGCCGGTTTATTTTTCCTGCTGTTCTCTTCACAGAGCTCGATAGCTCGTAGCAGTCGGACTATCGATCCACCACTGTATACAGTGGTCAAGTTTTATTTAACAATGCATAATTATTATAATTAAAAAGCCAGATAACGTTTATCAATATAATAATTAGGATGGTGATGAGTAAAACTAGGTAAATTATCTGTCATGAGGTTGTATATAATTGTACTAATAATTTTAGTTTGAAGAACAGATTACATGAGTATTTAGATAAACTAGTGGTCACCAAGTGATCTAAATTCGACCATAATTAATTATAAATAGTAGTGTGAGTAATGTTTATTTATTGAATGAATTTTTATGCATAATTTAAAGAATTATTAGCATTATGCACTCATTCTCTATATATACTATAAATGTGGGAAATTTCATACTCCTCCGTCCGCGCAATTTTCTTAAAAAGAGGTACAAAGTTTTTGCTTCGCGTATTAACATATAGGTTTGCTTTCTATGTTTAAATTTACAGACTTACACTGTCATTGGATATAAAAAGTAGATTGACTTTTGAAATGAATTTTTTATAAGATACGCTGGTTTGTGATGCATGCATGGCCTTCGTGATGTTTTTGCTTATCAGTTGCTCTTTGTTGTCGTTTTTGCTAAATGTCCAAGTGTTCCGTTATGATTTTTTGTGGTTGCATTCGTACCATAAACCACGATGTGAATTGGTATTTTTTTTTCAAAATCTGATTTGCACGATTCAAATACGTGCTTAGACTTATTGTCACGGCTTTTGATTCTCTAAAAACTGGCTTCATTCTGTAGTCAATTAATTAATTGGCAAGTGTACCAATTAATTTAAATAACAGCTACACAGTAAACCAGATATGTTTTAATAATCTACAATATGGCTTCTGTCCCGTGACTATGAACGCTGTAAAGGGTTCGAAACATCGGGAATTAAAATTAAAAAATGAACGCGTTAAATCTGCAAAAATTAGTTTTATTTACAAAATGTCTATCGTTGCACTGATGAAAATTCAGTTGCGTCGCGTTTGAAATTAGCAGGAAAAGACCCAAAATAGGCTGGTACTTTATTTAATATTTATAAATTAAACTGTCAGAAGTATTCAATGAAACAGCCAGTTCAACTGACATTCTAGTTGTTACCATCTTTTCTTTAACGTGGCCTTTAACCGCTCAGAGATAATAAAATTATTAAAATAGGACAAAATGTTGAGAAGATGACTGCGCGGAGCATATGGGTTGAAATAAAAATTGAGAAAAATTGGAATTAGTACAGGTAGTGTTGAATTAAAGACGTTATTTTAAAATATGAATCGGTTTCTTAAAAATGTAAAAAAATTGCCGTGATATTGTTCGGGCGCTAGCTTATAATTCCATCGAGCAACCTGAGTTCGATCTCCGGTACCGGCAAAGGAATTGTTAATTCTAAGTGCCGAACGAAATATTAACAAAAATAAAATTATTTCGTAGAATTGTGAAGTCTGCCAATCCGCATTGGGGCCGCGTGGTGGACTATGACCTGATACCCTCTGTACAGAGGGGGCCTTTGCCCAGCAGTGGGTCGTTACTGTACTTTTTATTAAAAATGCAACATTTTCCTTAAGTTTGCCACATGTCATTACTTCTCAGAATATGAACTTTGTAAGCACCACTATCGGGTGGTGTAATGAAAATAATGTTTACATTGCTGGACCAATTTTAATTAATTTTTTTGTCTGTCTTCAAGTCGATTCTAGAATGGTTTAGATTCACGATTCGTTTTTTTTTTGTTTTATTATTTATTTATAAGTTTTTGTCGGATTTAAGTCGCGTGTACAGGACAACGTCTGCTGGGTGCGTAGTCTATTGTATAACTAATATGTTTATGTCAACCTCCGCACATATTCGAGAAGGAAAGAGAGCCGTTAAACTAATATTCGTGACCTCTAAGAAATCGCCAATCATGATTCGAACGCGCGAAAGAATCGCTGTAAACAAGCGGCGCGAATCGGACCTCGCCAGTTGCGGCCAGAAATAACTCGTCAAAGCGCAGACATAACATTTCACCGGCTCCATTGACAATTTGTTTTCGTGCGGACAGGGCGACTGGTTTCGCTTTGTTCGTGGAAATATTCCGCTCCCATCCTCGCGCTGCACGTGCGCAGTAAAACCGCGTGGGTTATACTAGAAGGTCCACTTCGAACGTGTTTCCTACAAGACAGATATTAAAGAAGGTTCTGTCCGAACATCTACTTCTTCCTTGGAGAGGGCTATTAAGCTGGACGCTTTGATCTCAATAATTATGTATAGAGAATAGAAATAATCTTGATAAATCCGTGGCGCCAAGGCATTGGCTTAGGTGACGGGGGTCGTGTGTTCGATCCCCACACGGGACTACTATTTGTGTGACACCAGATAGTTGACACAGATAATTGTGTCGCACCTGGGCGTTTGTCCGCGTAAAGTTTATGTTTGTAAACCGTCCTTACAACACAGGATAATGTTATCGTAAAGTAAGGGCAATGTTTTGAAAAGAGATAAAACAAATACTCCGGCTCCACCTCAAAGCCGTTGTTGTAGTTACTTTCAGGTGAACTTTGTCGTTTACCAGCTCTTTTTTATTGAGAACTAGCTCAAGCTAGACTGTTATCCTATCTTGTAAGTCCTCTCGTAAACTGCAGTGCGCAGCTGCAGGCGATAAACACACCGCTTTATAAAAAACCCGTCCCGGCTTTGCACGGGTGCAATGTATTATATATATAAACCTTCCTCTTGAATCACTCTAAGTAGTAAAAAAAAAACCTTTGTGTTTTAAAGATCTAAGTATACATAAGGACAGACAGACAGCGGGACGACTTTGTTTTATACTATGTGATAATCATCCTTTGTTGAAGAGACGAACATTCTAGCACTGATGCTGGTGATTTCTTCAATTTTCTAGTTAGAAAATGGCAGTATTGCTTTCATCGGAATCTGGAGACCACCTTCTTCCAGCCACCTTGAAAGCGTCCCAACAAATCACAGTCAACGAGTGTGAATTAATTTTAAATTAACGACGCTCGATCGGTATCCATTCGAGACAATTGATCATTGAAGTTCATCACGCTATACCGGTTGGTTCTGGAAGCTGGAATCGATGGTTTCCATTGTTGACGCGACGGCGCATACAAAGTTGCAATATGGAGAGATCTAAAGTCAACAATATAGTTATTGAGTGCCTCGATGATGATGTATTACCTTCGTTTAAAGTCATGGCACAGCTCGTTTCAGTAATTGACTCTGTCTATAATCAGCGATTGTTATCGATTTGATATTAAACATATGCTTTAATCCATAATATTACATGGAAGAACAAGACAAGGATAAACCGAAAAAACATTAAATATGCGGGAAAGTTATTGGATAATTCATGATATTTGACAATATCTACCGGTAGTAGTTTTTTTTGGACGTTAAATAAGACATTAAAATAAGCCTGTATTGAATAAAGAAACTGACTTTGACTAAGAAATAAATTAATGAAATTATTGTGTTTAAAAAAATAGGTTGCTTTAACTGTGGTTGGACCGCAATCTGCCCATTCGTGCAACAGTGATCACTCACGACAATCAGAAATGCTAAGGTTTTGAACATTATGAAGCAGTCAACCAGCAGTCAACTAGTGGTCCGGAACCTTTTAATTAGGCACATATTATCAGTAATTGAGTTAGTCACAGACCAGAGGAAGTAAAGGTTTTCCGGGTCAGCCTAATTTATTCTCCCACTCTGTCACACATGGTACTTAAGGTTAAAAGGTCGTCATGACTTTCATATTAAATTGCAGAACATTCATTCTTCTTTCGTCTTTAACTTAACAAATAGTTTCCTCAAAGCAAATTCTGTAAATATAGCTTAACTTAATTATAAGAGCAGACATATCTCGCGTATGCACTTGGACCAAGACATCTCAGTCTTTCCAACCGACTTCAAAGAGATTCTCAATTCGGTTGTATCCTTTTTTTATGTTAACCCTTTTTTTCTTCTAAAATTCTTTTTGCACTGGGTTCAGTTCAGTTAATTTTGATTGCTACTGGATCTTGAACTCCGGAGACACATCAATTAAACCCTAATAATCAAATTGAAAGTGTATAGTGAGTGACTGATTTTAGGTCGGTTCTCCTTTTTGTTACTAATATCTTACTTGTGTGAAGAAAGAAAGAAATAAACAGCCTGTACATGTCCCACTGCTGGGCAGAGGCCTCCTCTGTACAGAGGGTATCAGGGCATAGTCCACCACGCGGCCCCACTGCGGATTGGCGGACTATGTTCATGTTCTTACTTATGTGTAAGAACGAATATATTAAGGTGGTGGTGATCATACTAGGTAGGCTGGGTTCGTTTCCATTGTAACAATTAATAACCATTTTTTTCCAATGAAATGTGTTATATTATAATAATATGGGACCACATGGGAAGCACCAGCTTTCAAATGAAAAGAGAATCTCAATCGAAAGTTCTGAGGTAACAAACATGAAAAAATGCAGTCGAATTGAGCACCTGCTCCTTTCGAAGTCGGTTAAAAGCCGTCTACGCAGTGGTCGGCCGAAGAGTCGCGGCAGAATCCGCCGGCGGCACCACCGCGCTCTCTTGGCACGTGCACTGATCTATTTCCGTTTTTGTTGGCAGCGAGCAAGGAGCGGCTTCAGCGGGCGCCCTTCGAGACGGCGCTGCATCACGCCGGTGGGTATTGGACGTTTGAAGACATTTATTCCCTCACCTTATATGTAATACTGCAAAGCTTAAACATTAAAATTACAAAAGTAAAAACGCAAAAAAAAATGATAAAAAAAATTGTGTTAACCCTAAAAATATCAACACTTAGCTGTTATGGTCACTTAGCAGTGACCGGTTATGTTTCCGAGATTAGACATAAACGCAAAAAAAAATTAATAATGCGAAAATTTGTTCGTACAGAAGTCTGATAGGATTCTTTCTTGATATAGGATTGGTATGTGTTTTATGAGTAACTATAACAACTTCTACGACCTCTGCTGAACTATTGCAAGTACTGCTCAGATCAAACTTTTGTACTGAACTTTGAGAACTGAACGTGGATTTTTTGTAGATGAATAGTCAAAAATGTTCAGTGCTGCGGGATTCGAACCTGTGGCTTCTTAGAAACGTGCCCGGACGCCCTAACCACCGAGCAAACGACCGAAGTCACTAAGTCCAACACTCTCCACATAATACTTTTATAATGGCATTTTAGTAATCATCTATGTGCATCCTAAAAGGCATACGTACTAGTTTCAAATAACATTTTAAAATTAATATTTGAACGAGAGACGTCGCTTTTGTTATTTGAATGTCGTGTTTAATTGAATTATCCACTGCTAGTCTGTACTCAAGGTGAAATTAAATGTTAAAAGTTTGTTGTAGATAAGTAGTTAAAAATTTGCGCCGCTGCGGGATTTGAACATGCAATGGGTTTAGGGTAAATCAGTCGAAACAAGATTATTGAGAAAAACTGCATTTTTCAAGTATCTAAAAATCTAAAGAGGTGACTTATTTATTTACAGATTTCAGTTTGTCGTAAAGCTATTGAAAATTAACATATACAATAGTATAAAATAAATAATTAGATAGTAACATTGCTTTGGAACATTTCTAGCATCGTTAGAAGTTTAAAGTAGAACAAAAACATACATAGATTAATAAATGGGTCGTGAAATCATTGCAATTTAGTAAGAAGTTTTTACGGTGGTAGGGCCACGCATCAGCCTCGGCTGTTGCACGAATGGGCAGGTTCGTCCGGGTAAGTACCACGACCTCACAGAAGACCGGTGTAAAGTGGAAGTATGATACTTTTGCGTTTCGTCTGGTGAGTGAGGTGGCCGGAGCCCAATTTTCAAAAGGTTGTCAACGCATCTGCATTTGAGAGTTCACAACAGGGCAACATAGATGACAGTGGTGTTTTTATATAAATTTTACTGCGAAGTTCTAACGGAAAAAAGCCACAGCAAAGCGTGACTGGGTTCAGGTAATAACTAATCAAATAGATTCTTTTTCTGTTTATAATTCCTTTTTTATTTTCGAAATTCGGGTGGCTTTTATCTCTCTCATTTACCCCTGAAATATTCGCTTGCTCTGCCTTGAATGTACGTACTATCACTACCTTGCCCCACTTTCATTCGATTTTGCGTCGTCTGAAGTTTATTTTCGTATATTATTTTTTGTCGATCACAAAATATTTGTTGTAATATGTATAATTTGTAATTCCTTAATTTCCTCAACATTTAATTTATCGAATGGCTAAATCTTGAAATGCGTTAAGTCCTAAAGCGTTCTTTACCCTTTGGATTTAAAAGTAATTCGTGGTTACAAGATGACCCAACATCTTATAACTATGAATACTATAAATATTAAAAACTTTGGAGTTCAAATTATAAAATATGCCGCGATAAATTTGCCGCGCTATTGCTAAGCCTGGCTTGAACGCTGGAGGTCGTGGGTTCGATCCCAACAAGGGGTAGCATTTGACTCGCGATTATTTGGTCCGGATCTGGATGATTTTTCCCAAGGAGTGCTGCCGTCAGGCGAGCGGCCGGTCGTAAAAAACCTAGCCACTACGATTGTCAACATGAATCAAGTGTTGTATCGACCCCACGAACTTGGGATAACAACAGAAGAAAGAATAAGAACACAGGCTTAGAACCGATCAAAATAATGTCAGCAAAACGAAAATTATGTTAATAATAACATAGTAAATATTCAATAGGAACTTAATAAATATCTTTACTATATTTTAAAGCTAAAAATTGGAAAAAAAGCAAGTGGTTCTCATTGTAATATATAGATGTCACCGTCACAATGCCCTTCTAGTCTATTCCGAGCATCAAAGTTGACCAAGCTCATATATAAATACATTAGTTTTATTCCGCGGCGTCGTTTTTTATCATAATCTCGGAACAATTCTGCGAGTAATGCCAGGTGCTTGTTAACATAAACGAATTTTACTGTGGGTTTTTCACAAAGATCATATGGAACTGATACCAAAATAAATTTCGATTGCATATTTGCGAATAAAAATTCTGAATATAGAACCAGGTGTTCATTTACGATTGGAAATGTAGATATTTAAAATCTTTTCTACCACCTTTTTAAATATTAGTGTTTGAAAGTTGTATCCACAACATGAAATAAAATGAATATACGCTTTTAACATCTTTTATCAGAACCTAAAAGAATAGATGACTGAATTTTAAGAAACAAATAATTCTAATGATTTCGCATTGCAAATATTGAGAATATTTTACACTTCTCAGTCAGTATATATAAAGAAGAATTGTTTCCGAAAGTATCTTTCTAATACATTCAACGAATGTGAACTAGTACATTTAACTGAAACATTGAAATGTTCTATGTATAATGCTTTGTGTTTGGCAGTGACATTGAATCTTTGTGTTCAGATTTTGAACAGGCATCTTTGATGTTAACTAGGGAGGTTTCTACCTTTTGTTTTGAATTATCAGTGCGTCGTTAAACTCAAAAACATAAAGCAGTTTACGGCCGTATTCGCTCATTTCGCGCGTAAATCTTAAGCAGTTGTTCTTAATGGCGTGAAAATTGTATGATGCTTGTTTTTAAAACTGCCCGCGTCGAGTTCTGTCGTGAGATTCCGACAGTTTTAAACGCAGAACATCGTACATGGGTTTCAGTGGGCATCCACGAATGCCATACAAGGCTGTCACCCCAGAGACACTTCAATCATATTCGAATATTTCCCTCCCGATACCAAAACAAAACCAAACAGAATTAGGTCTCTGAGAAAAACTATACAGACTTTTTTTATATATCACGATCTCGCATATGGTTCAAAAATTATTATTAAAAAGACCTTGGTCCTTAAAAAATCAGGATGTGAATTTCGATATTTAAGTATTTTTGAACATAATGGTCAATGTACCTATGATGAAATTGTCATATAGGTTGGTAGTAAATAAACAGACGAAATGAGTAAATGAAATTATGTTCAGTTGGGCAGGGTGCGCGAGGTGGCTAAGGTGGGCGAAGGTCGCTCCAATGTCATTACCGAGTAATTCCCCTGTAGGCTTTTAGCTAACGAAGGGAAATGGGCACGCTACAGGGCCGTGCTAACAGGGGAGGGGTGGCCTCGCGCCAGAACTGGGACGGTTTCGTGTAAACACGCGTTAAGACCTGTAACCAGAATTTTTTACCCCTAAAAGGAGCTTGATAGAGCTTCAGTAATTCACGAAGAGGCAAAAGAATATTATCTGAAAAAATGAATAATGAATAAAAATAATGTATGCAATATACGACCGTAAGTTCTCTCTGAAATGCTAAAACGGCAGGACTGATTTCAATAAATGTTTTTTATTGCGCTTGTATGGCATATTAATTTTTGCCACCAAAATATATTTTAGTTTTTATTTTATTTTGAATTATACACCATTTTACGATTTCTACAAATTTTATAAACGGTAAAACTTCACGACATGACACAATTTTCGTCTTTAACAACTTAAAGATTCGTTAAAGGATGTGTCTTTTAATCTTTAATCTTTTAATTCAGTTTTGGCAATTTTATTTAGTCGTCTTTTAGTGTGAGCGGTTCCAGTGTTGTGGAATGAACATTATAGGCCTTAATTAGAACTATACGCGATCGTATCTTTACAATTCATTCCGTTTTTTGTAAAGTCCTTACCACATTCATTATACGCTATAAAGTTCAATATTCCTTGTGGTATGGCTATACTAAATAGCCGAGGGGGTCAAAAAGGTGCATTGATTTTTATCTAACATTGTAGGGTAAAGTCGCAGCATTACGTTGGGGATTTCCGGCAGTTACGGGAATCCCGGGGTGGCTCGATAAAGTTGCACCATTTCGGCGCCACGATAATGCTGACAAAGTAACACGTGGCATAACTACGATTAGATTATACGTAGGCAATGAACAATGGTAGCATCCCATGATTTGTACCTAATATCCTATTCGATTATGTATACTTTACATATATGGTGGCTATTTTCAGTCATTTCAATATTCAATACCTACTCTTTCACATACCTATCACACTCCAATAAGATTCATACTTGTCTCTCTTCTAGTCACAAGATTTCCATCTCTTCTCATAACATAAGTGATTAAATATTTATTGACTATGTAATAAGCGTACTGCTTGTGGACGTCAGCATTAGTTTCGTGCAGGCGACAAATGTTCGTGGATGAAACTTACAACTCGACCTTTAGGTATCGCGGCTCTTACTTGCAAGTTCAAAACGGCACAGGTCCGAGAATATTCAATTTTATTACGCGCTCTGTTCTTTCTCAGTAATGAATCAACAGTTAATTGTTTAGAACTGTTTTGGGGTTCCTTGTAGCGAATTGAATTAAGCTTCCTCCAGTTTAGCACGGTTTTGACTAATGATTTTAGCAGTGCGGTTTTGAATAGCGATCAGCGATCTTATTAAGATGTCTATTACTAGTTTAATTTTTTTCGTACAATTTTTCGTACATTTTAGGGGAAGAGCAACAATAAATTAAAAAAATCTTAAATTTCAATATAAAAGACAACGCCCCTCGATCAAATATTCAATTATTATTTGAGAGCTTCGGCATACTGTAAAGTTATCCTCTAGGTGCCGCCAGAAGAATGAAGAATGAGGATAAATATTATGCGAATAAAAGTTTTTAGTTATTGGGATGTTTTCTGTTTTTG